TGTTACAGGTAATGATAGACGCGATGTGTTGTTGGATGCAGTTTGATCATAGGCGGTGCTTAGTTCCGACGCACTGGCAGCGCGAGACCAAGTTGAACGAGTCGTAGGATGCGACGTGTTCCTTCTTTCGCCAAGACCAGGTGTTGTTCGTCATTGTAGACTTGTTCCACTGTGCACATGACACAAAATCAGCCGACAAAAAGCGTGATCAGGGAGATGTAACAACAACCGTTCCAAAGTGCTTCGTCCCAATTGAGTTTGTAGGATTCGGAGCAAGTGTTTGGAGCCGTCCCGACCTTAAACGTTTCAAGCATGTGTCGGAGTATGTTGAGCGCCAGGTCCGTTCCAACCCTCCTTCGTCCGTCGACACTGTACCTGGGTGTTCAAATTGAGCTCTTAAAAGAATTTGTTCAAGTCTATTGTCCAGGTTCAGAACCAGTGATGTGAATTATTTGTCAAATTCGTCGTGAAGTACGAAGAACAGGGATCGACGGAAATCCTTCCCCCGTGGCTAAAAGTACTTTTAGCCAATCGATGACAATATCATCCACGTCCAAGCGCATGACATGATACAACTGGATCTTGCTGTCGTCAAACCAAAACTAAACATGTTGTTGCTGATAGAGTACTGTACGTAGTATACAAGCTGATACGTAGTGTATCCTTAAATGATCAACCTTGGCGCACATGATGCCAAAGTAAGTTTGCCTTCCCGGTTTTGGTACCCGCTGTCATTCGCTTGTGAAGCCACTTCAACACTATAACCATATCAATCTAATTTCAGCAACGTCTCAAACATCGCACCGGAGCGAAATTGTTTTCGTCTTCTCGCTCCAAGAAGGCAACTTCACTCAATCATTAACAAAGTCAAACCATACATTCTACTTTCCTCATTCATTTGAGGTTTACTCACAACGACAGAAATATCTGGTCCGTGTTTTGAATAACTATGTACGCCAACTTCGCGCAAAATGGATGTAAAAATCCGTAGACTGCTCCCACAAAATGCATTAACAACCCTCATGTTGACGTGTAACATTGGCTTGCCAGCAGCGAAAACGCTGTCCTGTAGTTTTTATCGAAATTGTGCTCAGGAAGAAACTGAAGAAATATTGAGTGAAGTAATGCATACTCCAATACAAAATGCACAGTTATAAATGATTGTGCGAGACAATATGACAGGTCGATTCATTCTTTGGACGCGGGGCCATTTGACGAGCAAGCTGTTCTACCAGAAATGGCTACGTGGTGTCCGCAGCCGAGAAGAGGCTAGCATAAAACAGCGAAGGATTGCCGTTGGGGAAGAAATGCCTTGTGGGATATTCAATATCTCGTCCATGTCTCAGTGACGGTTTGGTTTGCTTGAAGTATTAACTAGTTGTGAATGTACTAGTTGTACTTGTAACTTGGTTGCACAAATTTGTCGCGAGCACTCGTTGACGTCGAAATTCCAAAATTTTGACCAATAACAACGCAGTCCTCATCTTGCTGAAAAGTTCAATGTAATAAAATTTCCAGCAAAACCCAACTTCGAAATATTATTGCCCTCTACAAATTGCAAGATATTTCCTAGTACCACGGGGGAAGGATTTCCATCATTCCCTGTACACAAATTTTCTGCATAAAATTAACAGATGCTGCGTTATCTAACCAGCCCTCTGATTGGACAAAAATTGACCTCGTGTCTACGGTAGGCAAAGTCTACTGTATTAACACGCTTTGTCCAGCACAGTTGACGTCCTCAGCTTGGGACCGTTCGTTCCGAAGCCCCGATGCGACCACGTTGTCTTCGCTGAACAGATAAAGACGTCGTTGAGACTGGGTTCCGACCTAGACACGGCCAAGCTCCGGTGACCCACCGGGAAGTTGACTGATATGTTTGCTCACGGAACGAGGCCAACCGGCTATCCATACCGATGGAGGCATCGCAGCCATCATCGCAGCACCACTTGATTCAACTGCATTGCGCAACTCCATCATAGCATTATTCGGTCCAGTCCTTAAGCCGGGCAACGGCTTCAGGAACATTTTGCTTAGCTGCCATCGTGTAGTACTCCTTGGCCTTCGACATGTCGTTCTCGACTCCTCGACCAAACTCGTACTGTTGAGCTAGACACAGCTGAGCTTCTGGCACGCCACCTTCTGCAGCCAGAAAGAAAGCCGCCGCAGCTTTGGCTAAATCCACTTCCGTACCCCGGCCAAGTGCGTAGCAGGCACCTACATCAAAGCGAGCTTGAATGTTGCCAGTGTCGGCTGCCTTCAGGAATGCCTTGAAGGCCTTCTTCGGATCTGCGTCCACGCCTACTCAAGCACAGAATGAGTGATTGCAAGGCGAAAATTATGACTTCTCGGTACCATTCCCATGTAGGTACGCGTTCCCGACGGCTCGCAACGCTTCAGGCATACCTTGCTTGGCCGCGTGGCTGAAGAGCTCAAACGCCTTCGCCTTGTCCTCCGAAACGTATACGCCCTTGTCATACAGGTACCCGAGGTCGTACTTGGCTGCGGTGTGGCCTTGGTCCGCTGCACGTTCCCACCATTTGAGAGCTTCGGCGCCATTGACGGCAAAGTGCAATCCTTGGAGGTGCATGCGACCCAATTGGTGACATGCGTTGGCATGACCTTGGACTGCTGCTTTTTCGAGGTATTGTGCGGCGCGCGGCAAATTCTGTTCGACGATTCCACCTTTCCCGAGCAGAAACAAGTGGCCGAGCGCGCTGGACGCTTTGGCGTGGCCAGCGTCGGCCGCCACCGTCCATCGTTCAATCGCATTGTCCACATCCTGCAACTGCAAGAGCTTTACGCCCTCAATGTAGTCCACGTGTCCGGCGGGATGGCTGGAGAAGCACCGAACGAGAGGAGCGCGAAGCGCGGACCACCGACGCATTGCGTGACTCAATTTGCACTGTCGCATGGATTCAAACGGAAACCTCTTTATTCGGATGGTAGGTAGTACAATTTTACAGAGGTTTGGACAGGTCCGCAAACACAGAACCACCGCCATGGCCGAGTCGCTGGAGGACGAACTGGCGCGCTTCCAAGCCGAAATCGCATCACTAGAAGCGGGAGGTTCGTCTGAGAGTACCCCTGTCGTGGATTCTGCAGTTCCTGAGGCAAAAGCGCCGACGAAGCGACCTTTGGAAAACGGTGATATAGACCTCGATGAAGTCGCTCGCAAACGGCAGAAAGCCATTGAAGTCGCCAACAAGCTTCTCAAGGCTGCCGCTGCAGCGCCTACACCACAGCCTGCACCATTTCGACCTGCCCCGACTGTGATCGTTCGTGCGCCAACCAAGCGTGTGGACAAACCACCTGTAGAGGACCCTCTTTCATCATCGTACGTTGCACCTACTATCCAGCATGGTGCCCTGCGAATGGACCTGCCTTCATCGACCCCAAACGTGTCCATTATGCACGGACAGTCGTTACCGATGGGTGCCGCCGTGCAGATGGAGCCCATGATCGACCACAAGACTGGGTTGCCGTTGTCGACCAAGGAACAGCTCATCTTCAACCAGCAGCAGAGCGTGTACAGGTACAAGCCGCAGCACAATTTCACAGCAACGCACCAAGCACCGAGCGACAAGAAGTTTCTTCGAGCGGCGGCGGGGAAAGTGTGGGAAGACGCGACGTTGGCGGAGTGGCCAGAAAACGACTTTCGCCTGTTTTGCGGCGACCTCGGGAACGAAGTCACGGACGAATTGTTGTCGCAAGCGTTCGCTGCGTATGCGTCGTTCGCGATGGCGCGCGTCGTCCGGGACAAGATCACGCACGTATCCAAGGGCTTTGGGTTCGTTAGCTTCCTCGACGGGCTCGACGCGATGAAGGCAATGCGCGAGATGAACGGCAAGTACATTGGGAACCGACCGGTCAAAATCACCAAGGGCAAGTGGCAGGAACGCGCGCTCGAGGTCGTGAAGAAGAAGAAGAAGGGAGGAAAGAAGAACAGGCACTTGTTTTGATGGTATCGACGAATGCTGTTTGTGATGCGAATATACCTCTGAGGCAGGCTGGACCATCCACCAAGGGACCGCCTCGTTGTAGCCGCGACAGCGATGCACACCGTGCTCTTCAACACATCAGTCTGCTTGCTGTCGTGGAGATGGCAGGAAGTTGGAGTTGCGACTTTATCAGAGGCGAGACACACGGAATGCGCTGTGCCATCCTGCAGAATGTGCGGGTTACATTTATAATTAGGGCCGAAAGTTACGCGGACGACGCGGACGCGGTGGGCGTGGGGATGGCGGGGTACGTGTCGAACTGGAGGATGCAGTCTTGCACCGCGAGGCGCTTCTGACGGACGATGTCGAGCTGCGCACGAATGTGCCGTGCTTTCGCGTCGTTTGCGTCGATCTGGACTTGGAGATGGGCGAGGAATTTAGGAAGCTGGTTGTCGACCATGTCGCGGAGGATCGCCCAGTTGGGATGATGGGACACGCCGGGGGCGTCAGCGATGGTTTGTGTGTACACGGCGAGCCTTTGTCTTAATGTAGCGCACTGGGCTTCGTGCATTTTCCGGGCTTCTTCGCACTCACTCCACGCACACGTTCCTTGGGACTCCAGACCAAGCAGCGTCTCCATCTCCTGCAACAATTGCTCTCGTGTGACGGCGGATTCACGGTCCTTTGAGCTACTGAACAACGACAACCTCGTCGACGACAACGGCGGTGAAATCGCCCACGACGAAAAAAACGCCGTGGTCGAGGCCTTACGATCATGTGGGCTCATGCGATCATTTGCCCAGCCGTTCTCGAACGGGCGTCCCGGGGTCTGAAGTCCTACGAACGCAACGTCCGTCGTCGACTCGTCTGGGTGCTGTGGCATTGAAAAGCGGACGGTCCCGGCGCTGTGGTCGCGCCGATCCGAGTCGGCGACAATAATGGAACCGTTGTGGATCCACCATCGACGTCCGTGATTGGTCGATTTCGAACCGTTGAAGATCCAAGTCGATCGAGCGCCCGGGAAACGCGGGACGGCATGGAGCAAAGCGCCGCGCAGCAGGTCCATGAAGCCGATGGAAGACCTAGTGATAAATGGGGTCACGGAGGGGTCGATCAAGTTGATGCGCTTGCGCTCTTTGACCTGGCCTTCATGAACGGGTGGAGCAGACGAGCATGCGCGGAGGCACACCGACGTTGGTATGGCCATTCTAGGTGGAATATGCAGAGATGCGCATGGAAACCCCATGTGCGATCAATGGCGTGGTCGTGATGGATCGAGTGCTCTAAGTGTGGAAGCTCCCTTAACGGTAAGCCGTGCGACATGGCAGACAATGAGTGATACATTGGTATTACATGAGAGCGCACGAACTCGCGCTTTCGGCGTCCTGAGGCGCTTCTACTTGTGAAGAGGTGGTGGTTGGCGCGGGCGAAGGGATGGCCGCCTTCTCTTCGTCACGTCGTTTGATTGCGTTGCGAAGGAGGTCGACGTCCTGCATGCTGAGGACGGAGCTGTTCCGCACGACCACCGTTTCGTCTTCCTGCGTCATCGTTCGAATCTTGAGCGTAACCTTGGATTCGTCATCAGTGAGTCCAAGGAGCTCCGGCATCGTTGCGTTGACAAAGTTTGGGTACTGGGTCGCCATCGCAATGACAGACTGAAGCCCTCGCACGAGCCACAACAAGTCGGCGCCAGTCGGGAGTGTCGCTTCGCCATTTCGAAACAGGATGGGGGACGGGTAGAAGTTGTTCCCCTTGGCAACGCGGCAATGGAATCTTCATCAAGTTGTTCATGAGACCACTGCGATGGAGTTGTCGGCCACCTACTTGTCAATAGCGTCCAGGTCGTCGAACGGCATGGCTGTGATGTTGCCGAAAAAAACACTCAACTCACGGGCGCCCCACGTCACCTTTTGTTCGGTGCTTTGTTTCGACGGGTCAACACAGTTTACTTTGTGGTCCTTCCAGTGGTTGCGCTACAAAAAAATGTGACAAACCCACTCGCCAGCACTTTGAGGCAGATAGTCCGTCATGCAAAACCAAACGAAGAGTCGAGTTCCTACTTGGCATTGAGCATCGCAGTAAAACACACATTGACAGCGCGTGCATCGCTTAAGCTTTTTGTCCTCAGCAGCCTTCTTGTCGCACGCGGCACATCGACGTAGCTTTGCGTTCTCCAACAAGGCCAACTTTTGTCCTGTAATCGCGTGGTCAGAAATGACAAGGTGATAGCGCAAAGCTGCAGTACCTGGAGGCAAAACGCGGCGTTGCAAGTCTGTGCGAGTGAAGAACAACGCCAACCCTTCATCATGACCATCACACATTAGAATGCGATAGAATCGCTAAAAATTCTGAATCAGGATTACCTTTCAAACTGTCTTCTGTGTTTGGATCGTCCACATGACCCAAGACGGACACATAGACGGACCCGCCTTGTACCTACTCAACGAAGTATTCGACGTTATCTCAACTAACACCAATAAGTGCCAGCTCCTCACCGAAGAATGGGGTTTTGAGCTCAATGACAGGGATGACGTGGCATCAATCTGAATCGCTTGGCGCTCGACAAGGCGAAGCCATGGTTGCAACTCAGCGAATTTTGCACAGGTGTCGTAACTACAGAAGGCTTGTCACGAGCTGCAACATATATGCACGGTAGCGTACAATTCCACCACTTGATCTTGGGTCAGCCCCAGCGACAGCAAGCCTGGTTTTTCGCTAACAGCACCAATCGATGCCATATCCTTCCGCACCAAATGCCCCGACAGCTCGCTACGCCAAACATGTTAGGATCACATATATTGTTCACGAGGGAGACGTACGCTATACACGCGTCGATGCCTTCAGATTCCGTCAAGTACGTGCATTCGATACCTATGCCACTCTTGAGTCTTGTTATCGAAAGTAAACAACGAACCCAATGCCGCATACGATAGACGAAGTTCCCCGACTAACTTCTTGTCTGCAAACACGATCTTGTCCGGTCGATGTTGCGGAATGCAGTTCGGGGGATCGGCCATCGCTTCCAAGCTGAGAGCAAGAATTTCCTGTGCTGTTGGAAACACCTCTGGCGGGTCACAAATTTTCTTGGAAACGACCTAGACGTCCATTTCGTTCAGCGATTGCGGTTGCACATACGCACAAAGCAGACCTGACCCAACGGATAAATGTTGTTGACAAGAATGGCGTACGGACGGCACGGAATTGCATCGTCTCCCTCAGCAGCTCCTTCGCTGGAGGCACTCCAAACGCGAAGTTTCCGGACCACGATTTGCCAAATCTCCGACTTAGTTTGGTCCATGCGCTTGTATTTTTCGAGCTGGGCAGGAGTCAGCAGCATTTGGTCGACAATCGTAATCTCCGCTACAGCGAGGTGCGTCATGCTACTCTTCACTACAAGGACGTACCATCGCCAGCATGGTCATACTGCGTGGGCTTGGAAGTTGCAGGGATTGCTGTATCGTCATCATCATCGTCCTTGAAATGGTCCCATTTCTGGTACTTCTTCGTCAGGTACTCGTTCTCCAGATGCGCCATCTTCTTCGCCAATTCCAAACTACCCTGCCTTTCCAGAAAAGGACATCAAACCTTCATAATTTGATCCTGCCTCATCCGAATAATATTCTCGTCTCTTTATAGAAATTACACTGTAAGCGGATAGCTTTACGAAAAATTTTCGCGCATTATTGGTTTCTCACAGGTTTTCAAGCAGGTCGTTGTTGGTTAGATGGGATGCGGCATGATGGCGGCTCCTTTGTGCGATAGGACTGCGGACGGGCTGCCTAGGCTATGACGACGTGGTTTCAGCATCACGACTTGACTCTTGATGACACCATATCTCTCTTGGTGTGTAGTACATTGCTCGTCTGATTACTCCATTACTCCCGGACACATGACCTGCCAGATATAATTCCTACGCCTTTTTGGACGCGGCCTTTTCCATCTTCAGGGCGTTCGTGTTGGCCTTGGGTTCGTTGACGAATGGCAAGAACGTGACACCACCCATGAACGGGACCAGAACTTCGGGGACGCGCACGCCTTCGGGGGTTTGGAAGTTTTCCAAGATGCACGAGATCGTCCGCGTCGTCGCGCACAACGTCGCGTTGAGCAAATGCACGTACTTCTTCTCGGTCTGGTTCATCTTCTTGATGCCGCAACGGATCTCCATCGCGCGAGATTGGTAGTCCGTGCAGTTCGAGCACGACACCAACTCGCGGAATTCCGAGTACGCAGGGAACCACGCTTCCAAGTCAAACTTCTTGATCGCAGCGTTGTTGAGTTCGCCCGACACGATGTTGATGACACGGTACGGCAAGCCCAACGACTGGTAGAACGCTTCAGCCGTTGCGAGCAACTCGTCCAACATGGCCGGCGACTGTTCCGGTTCGCACAGCACAAACTGTTCGACCTTCTCAAACTGATGCACGCGGAAGATGCCCCACGTGTCCTTGCCATGCGACCCCGCTTCCTTGCGGAAGCACGTCGACGTGCCGGCATAACGGATCGGGAGCGCCGACTCCGTGATCCATTCCCCTACGTGAGCTCATGAGTCCCGAGCAAGTGGCATGAAAACAAACTAAATA